CTGCTTCATGCCGTAAAATGTAGAATTAATCTTGTCTAACTTTAGAAATCTGTTGCAAATGTCTATGTCTCAACTAGTCTCAAGTCTTCAAATTACTGAGCTCAGATAACCCAATTTCTCTGACTGATTCCTGCAGTTAATTCTTTCGGAATTAAGAATACTTGTTGAAGGGTTGCTTTTTACTTCTTGTTACAATCTCTCAAAGTTTATGTTGAGTCGATACTTAAGGCATGTTTATCTTCGGTCAGTATATTAATATCCATTATAAAAACCCGTAACACTTACTGTGTTTTGTAAGATCTTTGAAGAGTATTTTATAAAATCTTTGAAGCATAATAATATGAGAAGCAAATAAGCCTGAATGTTACTATGCTAATGGAAACCTAAACATTGAAAAAAAGAATATAGCAAATAATGTGGAGTAAATCTAGAAGTTTTCATTAAAATGCTGTAAATATATATGCATTTATATTCATTTCACACAAAAAGTACTGGAAAACAAGCATTTCTCAAAAGGAAGAAACTATGTTGCTCAGCTTTAATTCAACATTTTATTTTGCTAAAATAATGTTTAAAAATGTCTTGTTATGTTTCTTCTTTTTCTGTTCCACGAACACAAAGGGAGATGCAGTAAAAGACTTAATGCTTCGCTTCTTGGGGGAGCAAGCTGCAGTGAAGAGACAAGTTTTAAACACGAACTCTGTAGAACAGTCATTTGTAGGCTTGAAACAGCTAATTGTAAGTAACAATCTTCATAATTCAATATATATTAAATATCATGCTTCCCTCAAGATAGTTGGGAGCTATTGACTGTGAGGAGAAATGAAAAAAAACCTGTCTGTTCATGATTCTGCAAAGGTACTAGCCAAGGTCCAGTAGTTTTTAGTGGGAATGACACTGGGTTTTAAATATTGGGTTTTAAATGACGTAGTAAACATTTTTTTTATATGCAAAAGTTAGAAAAAAGGTAATTTTAAGTTACTGTGAATTTTATCAGCTGTTAATTTTCATGTAATGTAAATGGTTGCGAAACAGATTTTAGTGGCTTTTTTGTTTATCTGCATATGTATTATTTATGTTCTCACCTTAGTGTTTTACAAAAGTTAAGACATACTAGTTGTTGTGAATGGTAAGCAAAGCTGATGTGATAATTTCAATGCTTTAATTTTTTATTTCAGTGCAGGAAAACTGAACTAAATTAATTCCAAATGAAAGCTTAATTTTCTCTAAGTTAAAATCCTTTCCTTAATGTAAATATTTCAGACCTGGAAATAGTTGCATCTAGCAACCTTGTGAATCTTGTCTTGTTCTTCAACCATTGTGTTCCTCTATGAAACTCATTACTATTACATGACTGAGCCTTACTTAATCTGTTGAAATGTCAAAATATTTTAGGCTTATTTTATTTTTGAAAAAATGGATGAAAAATTACTGAGGAAAAGCAGTGAGGAATTAAGTGTTAGGACAGTCTGTATTTAGTATTTAACGTCTTTTAATTTAATTGTGTTACATTACATGTAAAGCTCCAGAAGAGACTTTTTGTCATGTTAGGAGAACTCTAGTTGATTTCCTCAAGCGTTGTTAAAGGAATTCAAAGGTAATTTTTGAAGTTAAACCTGAAGAAACAGATTGTGATCTCCATCCTGCAGATAGATATTTTTCTATTCGTTTCAATGTTTTGCTTAACTTGAGTTTGTAGGGGGAAAAAATAAATCTTATTAAGAAATCTTGTCTCCATCAGTGTCTAAGTAGGAAAAGCCTTTTTCCGCACTTCCTTTCCCTCTTCCAGAAGAGGAGTTTGGGAAATCTTCTTCTATTTGGCCTAGTAGCTGTGTCCATGCAAAATGGACAAGATGCAGACCATCTTGAACCTTTAATACTGTGCTGCTGCTGATACTGTTTTAGCTTTGAGTGTGCTCTTAAGCTCCAGAAAAGCAGTGTTAATGCTTTAAGGATCAAAGCAGGAAGGGTAAGGAGGCAATCTGCAGCTGTCAGATTTTTTGCTACCTGTAGCAGATTTTTTTTTTTAAAACTTGTCTTATTAGAAGGGGTTTTTTGGTAAAATTGCAGCCATTCAACCAGAAATCGGGATGTTCTTCAGTTTTCAAGGCTTCCAATCATTAGCTGTTGGTTATTCTTGAGCATGCAATATAACTATTTCTCAGTTTTGTTTGCAGAACTCTCTTTCTTTTTATGATAAGAATTAGTTTGGTTGGTTTTTTTTTTCCTTGCAAACATTGCTGTTTTTTCTGAAATTCTTAATGTGGAAAATTTATTTCTGATTGGCAACAGTCTTAAAGGTAAAAAGTATTTCAGACTTAGAAACTTGAAAATCCCATGCTAGATGATATTAATTAAAAAGATGTGTGCATTTTACATACACAGTACGTCAGAATGACATATAATAGTGGTGGTTAGCAACCACCAATTTTACTTTCTTTATGAGTGAATTCCTGACCAAATATGTTCAGAGAGTATATTTTTTCATGGAAAGAGCCACTTACAGGGAATATTTTCATTAACATCTGGATAAAAACTGGTGAGAGTTGGGAATATTGCTATGCAGTTTCCATAAAGTTAAGATATTTTTTCATTAGCTGTTTGTTTGGTATCCATGTGAACTACACATGAACATGAGAGTTAGTGAGATCATGTCAGTCACCCAATTCAATCCCTTGCAGCAATAGAAAGCCACTTAAAAGAGTCTATTTCAAAGGGGTCCACAGTACAGAAAAGAAAGGCATAGAATTAGGGTAGACTTCAGCTTCAGACTGATACCTGTTATTTAGGTGTTTACATATGAGCTGATGTCTGAACTCTTAAGTCAAAAGAGATCTCATCAGTATAGTTACTGATCATATCTAAATTTAGATGTGTAAATCTGGGATCCCATCTAAAAGTCTCAAGAACTATCATGTCCTGCAGGAAGGCACCAGTGGCAGCTGAAACCAAAAGTGAATGTTAAGTCCTGTTATGAAGAAATTTGTTAGGTTAAAATTCTCATGTGATCTTGGTGAACTTCATCTTATTATGGGAAGGGAAGGAAAGGGGGAAAAAAAAAAAGCAGTATTCCAAGCCTGTCTGCTCCAGAGAAAAATACTTCGTTTGTATCTGGTTACTGTTTTAATCCTGTGTGAATGGGAAAAGCATGCTAAATGGCTCATCAGTATCCCAAATCTTCATACCGCAGGTCTTCAGCTGCAATTCTGGAGCTCCTCTATTCTGCCATACAATTGCTTCTGTTAGCTTATTTGGCTATTTTAACAAATACAGATACATTGCTACTATTTTCAAAGGCTATTCCAGAACTTCATTCCTGTGGTGGTTAATCAAAGGAATTCTAATCAATCCTCTCTCAAAATCTTTTTTCTAATGAAAGATAAAGTTGTTTACAACAGTTTAAGTGTTTTGTTCTGTCCTGGTTTCGGCTAGGATAGAGTAAATTTTCTTCCTAGTAGCTGGGATAGTGCTGTGTTTTGGATTTAGCATGAGAATAATGTGGTAACACACTGATGTTTTAGTTGTTGCTAAGTAGTGTTTATACTAAGTCAAGGACTTTTCAGCTTGCCATACTCTGCCAGTGAGGAGGTGCTCAAGAAGCTGGGAGGGAGCATAGCCAGGACAGCTTGCGCAAACTGGCCAAAGGGGTATTCCATACCATATGACATCATGCTCGGTATATAAGCTGGGGTGAGTTAGCTGAGGGGCAGCAGTCGCAGCTCGGGGACTGGCTGGGCGATGGTTGGCAGGTGGTGAGTGATTGCATCACTTGCTTTTCCTGAATTTTATCTCTCTCTTTTTGTTATTTTCCT